TGGTACAGATGTGTGTGTAGGACTTCAACATCAAAAGAATGGTCACAAGAGGCTGCCCGCAGGGAGGCGTGCTATCACCTCTCCTGTGGAACATGGTTCTGGCTAGCCTCATTGTCCGCCTAAACAATGACAACCACTACACAATATCTTACGCATAGAGTTAAATTCGAGAACTCGCGTTGCGAACGCATGCAACATGCTGTTCGAATTATAGAAAGATGGTGCAAGGAATACACTATGCCCATCAACCCCAAAAGAAATGGTCCTATCCACAAAAAACAGGAAACTGGTACTTTCGACAGCATCCAGACTCTTAAACACCGAACTAAGTTTTGCCGCCGAGGTCAAATATCTGGGAGTGACAATCGATTGCCAACTAACGTGGAACTCTCATATTGCTGAGAGAATACAGAAAGCATATATCGCCCATGAACAGTATAGACGTACTATCGGAAGACCGGGGGGTTCTCCCCCAAGGTAGTTATGTGGATCATTACAACCATCATCAGGCCCATGCTTACCAATGAGGCTATTGTCTGGGGACATAAGGCCGAACAGACTTCTATAAGCCGAAAACTAGACCACCATAACTGGTGCAATCAAAACTAGACCAACCAGGGCCTTGGAAGTAATTCTATGTTTGACGCCCCTGGATCGTTATGTCAAGGAGGTCGTTTTAACCACAATGATGCGCTTCCGCACTGTTGGAATAGAAACAAGTGCAGATGTCGGTTTGCAGAGAGCCCGCATATGGCGTGAGGCAACGAACTCGCTTCCATTGTTAGAGGCCAGAGTGCAGAGTGTATTCTGCAACACCATGTTTCGTCTTCAAAAAGCCCTATGCAATCAACACGAAAGGCATTGGAAACAACACAGTGGCAGGGGTAAGTAACATCTACAATGATGGTTCTACAACTCAAACAGGCCCGGGATGCAGAGTATACTCCAAAGCTCTCGAACTGAACCTAGCTATAGCCCTTGGCTCCATGCCTAATGTCCTCCAAACGGAAATTACTGGCATATCCATCGCGGCCGTACAAATAGTCAGCAATAATATCACTGACAAGATCGTGCACATCTACACGGACTGCAGATAAGCAGTACTAGCGCTATCTAGACCGCGGATCACGTCAGAACTAGTACAACAGTGCCACCGTACACTCACCGAAGCGTCGATGGTGGTAGTCAGCTGAATCAAAGGACATGATCACAGCAAAGGCAATCGGGCTGCCGATGCCTTAGCTAGAAGGGCCGCCAGGCTACAGCCTTCTGGACCGGAGCCTTCGTAGGGCTGAATATGTCGGCGGCCCAGAGGTATGATAACAAACGCTCCCATAACCTTTTCAAAAAGCGCTGGGACGATACAATTGGCTGCAACTTATCCAAAGAACTGCTAAGCTACCCAGATAAAGCTAGAGCGAGCCAGAAGCTGTCGTTGACCAGGACAAAGCTACGCCTAATAACGGACACATTGACTGGCCACTGTCAGTTAAACAAACATTTGTTTAGGTCGCATCTCAGTAACACATCCTTGTATAGGGCTTTTTATAATGTAGACGAGACGATAGAGCACATTCTCTGTGACTGCACTGCTCTTTCACCAATACGCAGACCCAGATTAGGCCAATCGTACCCATCGCTAGAAGAGATCAGAGGCACCGCCCCTAGACCAGAGGCACCGCCTACGTGGAATCGCTAGGCTGAATGACGAGCTAAGAATGACCTCTCCTCTTGTGGAGGCTCACAATGGACCTAATGTGGCCTAAGTATTGTGGCATACTATACCACCCTCCCAAACTTACAGATACAGAGAACCAGGCATAAAGGAGATTCGGACTAGACGTCAGCTTCAACAAGACGCCGATTCTGTATCAACCTGCACCGGATACTAATCCCCAGGCCCCAAATATAACTATAAATCACCATTCTTTGCAGAACGTAGAACTCTACCCATACCTTGAGAGCCATCTGTCAGCGAATGCAACCATTGACGCTGAAATCCAACACCGCTTGAAGTGTGCTAACGCGTTCGTGCGACTTCTGGAGAGAGTCTTCAAGAATCACGACAACAGCGCTAAGATCAAGCTTCGCGTCTACAATGCTGGTGTAATACCAACACTTCAATTTGGCTGCGAAACATGGACCACCTACAGAAGACACATAAAAATTCTAGAAAAATACCACCAGCAATGCCTAAGAAGGATCCTACGGATTAAATGGAAGGACCATAATCATTGGGAACCAACTTCGCTGGACAGGTCACCTCGTCCGCATGCTTGAACACGGCTTCCACGATAGACTCAGGGGTCAACTGGATGAGGGAAAACGAAGTCAACAGCAAAGAAGTCAACTAAAACGCTACAAAGATGTTATCAAGGAGGAAATGGGAAAGTTCCGCATCGATAACAGCAACTGGGAGACGACGGCAAATGATAGGCCCTCATGTCATCGAGTAGTCCACGACAGACCACAAACTTTTGAAGATCAGCGTTGCAGAGACGACACCGGAAAGAGGAACCGCAGGAAGGAGCGAAAGAACAGAGGAAGAAGAGGCTGAGTGTGCCAAAACTGTGGAAGAGTATTCGGCTTCAGAGTTGAGGTGACTTATGTTACATATGTACCCCACGTGATCACGTAAGGCAGCTTACAAATTTCATAGTAAACCTTACCAAAATAATTCAAATAATATTCAGCATACCCAATAACAAACAAAAAAATCACTTTGACAGATGTCACGTGGCCACTGCCAAGGAGCCAAATTTAAATATGCAAAAAGTGGGGTTAGTTTGGGATAATGGCGCCAAAGATAAGGAAATGCACAAAAACTTGACTGAAAAACACCAAAATTATAACTTTATTGGTATGAGGGCAAAAATCCCATCAACTCAAAAAAAAAACTCGATTGGGAAAGAGATAGCCATAGTGTAGGCAATTATGCAGCAAATACGCGAAATGTTGCATTGTAAATTGTTCATGTTATAGGTATAAGTTGAAGTGGTACTGTAGCCACCAAACGACAAGTTTCCAAAAAAAGTATGCCCAAATAACATCCGCGGGATATCGCAACATTCACAACGTTGGAAAGTCGTCGGGGTCTAGACTCTGATACAACGTTGTCAACCGCTCATTCGAGACATCGTCGAGGTTCTTTACGTTATTATTAGTGACCAAAACTCGCAAAAAAATTCTCTCAGTTCCCAGTTTTACTTTTTGGAGTTTAAGTCAGAAATGAGGATATTCTGTTCAGGTACAATATGGAAGTTTCAAATCGTAAGCATTGTAGGTACACAGACATCAGGACCAGGCTACTAGACACATACACGTGTATCATTCATCGTCCCTGCATGTCTTTAAAATTCGTGCATCTTCGGCAATTCGGCTATACTCGGCTTCGGCAGCACCTCCTCGATTCGCCCAAATTGGGTACAAGCTAATTCGTCTTAGTACTCTCTATTTGTCTAGTAGGTTGGTCCAGTCGGTATAACCCCTTATTATGCTTCCTATTAAGTTAAATTATTTAATCAGGCTTTAAATGAAGGTTTTTTTCAATCGGAAAAGTTACAAGTTAAAAAAAACTTCAAATTACACATAATTACATACAGGGCGACAATTCGAAAAGTAGCAAACGGAAATATCTCTTAGACAAAAAATACTATCAGGAAGATCTTCAATACGTAGCGGGGGATTGGAGGGGAACCAAAATGAGGCACTTTGCAAGTCACCCTACCTCTACCCTAACTTATTTTTTTTTAATACGAACCTACTTTGTGTTGCACATCGTTAGGTAGCTCGTTGCTCTCCCTTTACAGTCCTATAGCAAAATCTTAAATCGGACGATTAGTTTTTGATCAAATATAAGCACACAAAAGTCAGTTGCTCGAGGTGTCGCAATCTCACCGCATCAAATCATTGCCATTACAATCTAAATCTATTATTTTTTTTCTTGATAAAAGCTCGTCGTTTTAGAGCACTTAATGGCATGTGGATTTGAAAACTAGTTGACTATCTCTTGGACAAAACAAATATGTCATAAAAGTCTCAAATACACATCGGAGAAACGGAATGTGCTTATTGACTAGCCCCCACCCCTCTTGTCTTGGGGGCTAGCCCCCACCCCTCTTGTCTTGAGGGCTAGCCCCCACCCCTCTTGTCTGGGGGCTAGCCGCCACTATTAATGTTTCTAAAATGAGAACCTACTCCGTGTGATACTTCCTTTGAAAGGTTTATTATTTCCCTCTAGAGGTGTGCTGAAACAGATAGAATTATGATAAACACATTATTTGGTTTTGCCGATGTGTATTCCAGACTTTTATGACAGAATTTTATTGTTTCGTCTAAGAGATAGTCCAAATTACTAGTTTTCAAAATATGCTTACTTTTAAACACCGATATCTCAAAAACTAATCGTCCGATTTAAGATTTTGCTATAGGACTGTAAAGGGATAGCAACGAGATATCCAATGATGTGCAACACAAGGAAGGTTCGTATTTGGAAAAAATAAGTTAGGGTAGCTACCCTCTAAGGGGTGAGGCGGGGTGACTCAAAAAGTGCCCCATTTTGGTTCCCCTTCCAATATCCCGATACGTATTTTAGATCTTCCTGATAGTATTTTTTGTTTAAGAGATATTCCGGATTGCTACTTTTCAAATTGTCACCCTGTATAATTTGTACTGTAGGTACCATCAAAAACAAACGAAGCAGACTTTTATTATAAATATTATAATGTGTGATGGCTAGAATTGCCCTCATTTACCCATCCAATTTTCAATTTTCTGTGGGAAGGTTCTAAAAATAAAAAAAATATAAAACACTTCATGCTCAAACTAGATGTTATCTATGAAATTGATCTGTACTATTAATAATAATAGATTATAAATAAACTAATGAATTAAAATTTTATCACAAAAAAAGATTTTCAATCCTTACTAAAACAATAATTTTCTGATAAGGTCAAGTGTATTTTTAAGAATAAATCAGACTTGACATTAACGATTACAGTCTTTTAATAATATTTTAGAAGCAACAACAAAACAATACATGTTTTGTACTGCAATTCATTTCGGTTTGCGTGTTCAATAGACTTTAATTAATGAGGATCAATTTTTAAAATACGCTATCATTATAGTGTTTTAACAATACGTCAAGTTATCAGCTACAGTTTTATTGCCAAACTTGCTCTGCGTGTACTGGCAGTCAGTTGCTCGAGGTGTCGCAATCTAACCGCATCAAATAATTTTGCAGAATATGTGAGTAGCTTTTCTATTACCATTTAACTATAAATTTTTTTATTTTTTTTTGATAAAAGCTTGACGTTTTACAGCGCTTAAAGGGATGTAGACTTATTTATGTCGCGTTTTTTCTGTGTTGTTAATTTTCTATAAACTAAATGGAATCTTTCAACTGGCATTATATTTTTTTGAATGAGTATTAATTGGATTTGCACAAGTGCTAGGCTCTCAAAAATGGGCGCGTGTCTTCCAACCACAAAGTAAAAATCTAGATAAGTTCAATTTTAATTTGCATTCAAATGCTCCTTATACATATTTGCTATATAGTGCTGATATTTCAGATAAACACATAACCATATTTATCTGTCTCTCAATATAAATTTTGAAATTTGTGTGAGCTCAGCTCATCCAAATTTTCATTTGATAGTTTGCAAACCATTGATACCTACCTAGGTTGTACAATATGATTATTATTTATTTTGAAAGCAATGTAGCTTCCTCTCAAGCTTATTTTTTTGAATTTCCAAAAAGCAATCGCTTGATAATAGTATGTATTGCATCGAGTTGATTGGTAGCAACTTATTGAAAAATTTTATCATAAAAGGTGTGATAATCAGGTAAGATTGTTTGATAGGCAAAGTTAATATTTACGGAATTTTCGTGAATAATAATGAGTAATAGCATCAAAAAATATCAGTCAATTCGAGGCAATTATCCAACGATTGCAGTTTTAAAGTTCAATATAAAAAAAGTTCGATATAAAAAAATACATTTTCAACATTAAAGATTTCATTTTATCAACTATAATAGTGCAAACTATTATATTACTATCGAACAGTTTCAGTGAGAAAAATTCAGAAAAAAGTGATTTGTATAATAATATGACTATATACCATTTCCAGCATTATTTCACACTAGTGAAATTTGATTTCAAATTAATGAAAATTAAATTCACATCAGTGAAATCTAATTTCGCTCAAATGAAAATTGATTTCAAAGTAACGAAAACTAATTTCTCACTAACGAAATTTGATTTCACATTTTTGAAAATGAATTTCAAACTGACCCTAATTAATACTTATTTTTCAAACATTTATTATTTCTGCCTAATGAAATAAACCCACTGAGTTTAGGAAACTGTGGTTTAGATAACATAAAATACAATCATGAAATAATTATGAATTATGTAAATAAATTAAACTTCAGTTTGGCAAATCACGTGAAAAGGTATAATGCAGCTATCTCAAGAGTGAGAAGATTCAACTGAAGTTCAATTTATTTAAATAATTTATAATTATTACTGTTAATTGCTTCATGATTGTATTTTATCTAAGGAAAGTTTGTGTCCTATTGGTATCCAATGAAGGGGGTGATTCGTCGGTTAGGACAAAAAAAATATTAAAAAATTTGTCTTTTTACAATTTTATCAATGTATTGTGATTTGGTTATGTGCACTTGAATGTTACATCCTGAAAAATCTCGCACTGTTTTATATAATTCTATCCACATAATTTTTTAAGTACACTTCAGTTTTTTGTTAGCACTTTTTTGATGTTCCTAATATATATTTAAGCCCTGATGAAGCCCTAAACTTTTGGTTGAAACGTTGGCAAAGACTTAACAGGCCTTTTAAGTTTTATTTGTCCTAACCGACGAATCACCCCTTCATTGTATTTTACGTTATGTGAACTCAGTAGGTTTATTTCATTACGGTGAAATAAATAACATTTGTTGATGTTTTTTTCAAATTAAAATAATAAATGTTTGAAAAATGAGTATTAATTAGGGTCTGTTTGAAATTCATCTTCACAAATGTGAAATCAAATTTCGTTTGTGAGAAATTAGTTTTCGTTACTTTAAAATCAATTTTCATTTGAGCGAAATTAGATTTCACTGATGTGAATTTAGTTTTCATTAATTTGAAATCAAATTTCACTAGTGTGAAATAATTCTGGAAATGGTATAGTTTTCTAAACACTTGAGGATTTATAAGGTATTCCTGTGAATTTGATTCCTAAATCTTTATCAGAATGCAAAAACAGGAAATACAATAAATTTTTAGTTTGAATCAGCAAATCATACATAGTTCGATAAGCCCCTACCAATTTTGTATAAAACATTTATATAATAATTTTACAGGGCGACTACTGAAGAAATCCTCCACCATGTGAAGGGTTTGGCGAAAATCCTGTTCTTCTTTCTAATTTTTTTGCCGTATACTTACATAGAATCTATTGTTAACCTTTTTTTGAAAAAGGAACCCAAATCAGTGAAAGGAGAAATTGTTCTGGTAAGTATAAACATTCTTTCGGTCAGAAGTACAATATTTGCTCCATAAAACATAAAAATGATAACCTTCAACTGCACTTCTCTGACAACAGCACACAAAATAATGATAGTGAATGGAGCTTTATTAAGTTTATTTATAAACTAAGAAAAAATTATGGAATATTTTTGAGTTCATTTGTTTTCATATAAATTATTATTTTTTCACAATCAATCTCTTCGATTAGATAACTGGAACTGGTCACGGAATTGGCAAATTACTGGCGCTCAAATATTCAGCAGAAGGCGCTATTGTTGTAGGATGGGATATTAATGAAGAGCTTAACAATAAAACGATTCAAGAATTGAAGAGGTCTGGAAAACAAGCTTATGGATACAAGTAAGAATTACTAGCTGGTAAATACTACTTACGAAAAATTATATAATTATAAAATATGTTTTTTGGACGATATTCAACTGTAACAAAATTACTTTTAACCAATTATGTTCATCACGAAATATGTTGTAACAGGTTCCTGGGATGTTTTTCAAGTAATTTAAGAGCCTTTAATTAAAACAATTATTAGGTCTCAAGCTCGTAAACAATTCAAAAAGTCCATACACAGTTTGTTCTATAGATAATTTTAAATTTAAGGCGGTCTAAATTCAAATAAAGTTTGCTCATTTCCTTTATTCGCATTTATAATTCAAGGGTAGATGTTGCGAATCGAGAAGAAGTGCTTGCGACCGCGAAGAAAGTTCAGGAAATGGTAGGGGAAGTAACAATTTTAATAAACAATGCCGGTATTATGCCACATCACCCTTTTCTGGATCACACCGAAAAAGAAATTAGGAAAATCATGGATATTAATGTTATGGCTCACTTCTGGGTACGTATTGCCTTCAAAATATTGATTGGTATAAAATGCCGTATAAATGAACAAAATTAAATGAAATAATATTTAATCAGTGTTTTGTGGATGAACCAATACTGTGCATATTGTTGCAGATTTTGGAAGCATTTTTGCCAGCAATGAAACGAAACAACCATGGACACGTGGTAGCTCTTTCATCCATGGCTGGAATACTAGGTCTAGTCAATTTGGTTCCATATTGTGCTTCTAAGTTCGCAGTAAGGGGTTTAATGGAAGGTCTACACGAAGAATTCAGGTAAGTGAAATTATCTAAATTTTTGAAGTTGCTAAATAAGATGATTAATTGTAGGCTTGATAACCCATGTAACAAAGTGCGATTCACCACTGTTTATCCATTTATGGTAGATACTGGATTGTGTAAATTCGTGGACGTCACATACCCAGTAGTGACACCGATGCTTAAACCAGAATTTGTTGCCGACAAAATATTCGAATCTCAAACGCTCGAAAAAAGAAATGTCGCTTTACCGGGATACATCAATCTCGCCGTTATGTTGAAAACCAGGTAAGTATTAATCATCCAAGATAGGAAGGGCCAATATGCGGAGCTCGAATTTAAAGAAATTTCAATTTAGAACTTAGTTTAAAGTCGCCCCGAAAGGACATGGCTCACATTTGATGAGTTTAACGGGATCGAACCATTTTCCTGGAAATTAAATAGGATATTTGGCATGCGAAACTAAACAGTTTTTACCATAGCGCGGAACTTGTCACTCTTTAGAGTGTGCAAGAAAAATTAAATTTCTTTCTTAATTTACGAATATCTCCACTGTGAATTTGTTTTTAATGGCTGTAGCTAAATTTTGCCGCTCATTAATGTTTTATTGACATAGAGCACAGCTTACAATTGTATTTCGAGAGAAGATACCACTTGGCTCCTCTTTTTTTTTCTATTCTACGTAAAACATTTTGATGGTCGATGGATAGCATCTTTGTTTCTACGAGAAAATTTCTCCATCGAAGCTGGACATAAGTTTGCTCTCACAGTACCTAAATTAAATAATCAATCAGAAATACTCATGAAATTCGGAGGGTTATACAAAGTGCGACACAATCTTTGATAATGATTACCTTTTATTATGATTTGCAACCATTTTGATAAAATGTCCGCACAGTTGAAAAATTATTTTTTGGAAGCACCGAACCTTCAGCATTGACTTTCATTCAGATTCATTTCAGAAAATATCAATGACTAAGTATTTCAGAAGAAAACTGTCAATTCTCAGGTGAATCATAAATCTGCCCTGGGAATATGTAACAAATAGAGATATTTTCTCTATCTCTATTGAAGTCCCTTCTCTATTGATTTCGAAAAGGGAGAAGAAGACAGCAAGTGCCATAGAGATAGAAATCGATCTCTATCTGTTACATAGTACTCCAGCTGAGGCCCAATTTAAACAAATCCCACTCAATAGCCCTAGTAAAATGACAATTAGATATTTTACGTTTTTGTGCAAGAAGTGATCAGATAATTTGAACTTATTGAAAGTCGATCCACCCTTCCGTTGCCTCAATTTCAAGAGTTTCGATTTTAAATTATTTTAATTTTTTTAAATTTTTTCATTTAATCAACGTATGTCCAACGTACCTCCCTTTTTGTAAACCTCTTTGAAAGCCAATATAGTCTTATCTACAAAACATAGAAATGTCGAGAAGATTTCCAAATTAAAACCAATATATTGATTTCATTGGCAACAACATGCTGGTACTCAACATTCAACCTCAAACACCAAAAGCCATTCTTGCATATACCTACTTGAAAGGACGGTATTTTTCGTCGCATAATATAGCAATCGCGATAATAGGTATTCATGACTACAAGATTTTGACATATTTGTTCTGGATAGGGGATACAGAGATGAGGAAGCACTTAAATTCTGACATACCTCCAAAGCAGATCAATGTCTGTTCACGGCTGGATCGAAGACAGACAGACAGTGTGGTGGGAGCGAGCGCTTATGGTGAAAAACCGAAAGCTAGGCTATCCATCAATCTAGGAAACAATGCAACCATTTTTCAAGCGGAAGTGCATGAGGAGGCCGCGGAATCGACCCCAAACTCACAAAACCATAAAAATATGTTCTAACAGCCAAGCCGCTCTTAAGGCGCTTAGTTCCACATACTGTAGTTCAAATTTCTGAAGCTTACTGTCATGTCAGGCAGCTCCAAGCAAATTAGGGTATGAAAACAAGGTAACACCAATTTGGATACCGGGACACGCTGGCCTTGAGGGCAATGAAATTGAGGTTCTCCTTGCCAGAGGGGGAGCCGAAACCAACTGCACAGGATCAGAGCCAGTGTTGGCTATTGCCCATAACATAGCAAATCAAACCAATAAAATCTGGGCGGACAACAAAGCCTACGAACATATGCTAAACCTGCCAGGGATGACACAAGCAAAGGCAATCATAAGACAACCAGTGGGAGAACGCACGGTTGGAAAAATGCTGGAGCTCGGCAGATTAACCTGAAAACCCTAATTAACTTATACACTGGACACTGTAGGCTAAAACACCACACGCACAGGGTTGGGCTGGCAGATGATGCAGGCCATGCACGGAGGACGAGAAGACAGCTGCACACATCATTCTTTGCGAATGTCCGGCAGTTGGCAGTCTGAGGCATCGTATCATTGGTAGGGCAACGGTCTCACTGGGAGACCTGAACAACATCTTTCCAACCATTTTCCTGGACATTGGAAAAATAGGCATGATTGGAGAAATATGAATAGGCATGAGCTACAATAGACCAATGAGTCACAGCAGAGGGCTGAAATAGGCCCACTCACTTTCGGCATGACCTAACCCACCTCCAATGTTAAAGTATCTCCAATACCAATTGAAAATCGCATCTTTATGTTGACTGCTCAAAATTAGAAAAATACCTCTTATAATAATATGAAATTATTTTTATGTTTTTATGCGTAGTCCTGGTACACTATATCAGAGACACCGCACGCCGGCAAAAAAACTTGAAACGTCTCGGCAATGCTGCTGGGCATTATTGCATACCGACAAAGCCCAGCCGTTCTTGCTGACACTGTGAGATATCTCTTTAGAAGTGGACAAAAGCATACAATTACACAGATAATTGAATGAAAATCGATTTCAAATTTGAATTTTTAATTAAGGAATAATATTCCCATTAAAATATTTATATTTGATTTATTTCAATAGTTTAAAACGGAATGGGGTAGTATACGAAGTATGAAAATCAGTAAAAAAAATGCTCGACATTATTCTATAGGCTAAATGGTGATGGTATAGTGGGATACTAAATTATTTTCCAGCATAGTGTCTATAGAATTAGTACGAAGAAAAAACAAACTGTAATTTGAATTTAGCGCCACACCGGCGACCAATAGTATTCGAGCCGCTGACCATCTGGCAACGCTGCTCAAAATGCCTCTAAACGACAGCTGACTCCAACAGTTCAACAACGTGTGGTGTCGTGTGAATCGTGTGACATGTGAAATTGTCACAGTAACTTGTTTATGTTGTTTGATGTAGTAAATTTGACGTTTCGTTCTTGACGGTCAATGTCAGTTCAAATTGTGCGTTCTCAAAATCGTGATGTGTTAGCGATTGGAAAAACTAACTACGTCACGAACTTTTATTTTCACGTAGGGGGCGGGGCTAAGAGGAAATTTGAAAAGCAAAATTCCAGTGTATTGCGGTTTTTACAAAGCAACTGATTACACTTAATAGTACGATGCGTCGACTATATCACTACGCAGTAGTTAAAAATCACTTGTATACTACCTATCCCATTTTAAGGATTATCTACTATATGAATTTTGCCCATTTATTCAATGTATTACCTTCACTGTATTCTAGAAGTAAATCAGCTAGAATTTCGGGGCAATGGCGTTCGTCATTTCAGTTTTTATAGAAATATCTGGAGTATGTTTATTCTTTGATGACCAATTTGTTTTCATTTGTCATAAAAATAATATTTAGACGCCTATGGATTCCCACGTGACTTCAAAGAGATTGACTGAGCTGCCTTTTTTATGAAGTTTCAATTAATAATGGTTATACTATACCCACATAGCGAAGACAATTTACAGTAAAAGAAGCCAATCAAGACCGCAAAGAAACCAAAACAAGATGGATATAGAATCACCAAATGGGCAACTAAAGTAGCTGAAAAATTTTTAGCAGTGGTCCAAATCCCACAAAATGAACTTCAAACAAGGATTCATGGATTCACAATTAGTACGTGACAGTGGACCGTGGGTCGAATAACAAACTATCACATGGGATTTTCAACCAAACTTGTCTCTAGAATACATAGGGAAAAAAACATTACCTATCAAGGGGGCATATGTAAAGAGCACCATTAATCGAAAACAAAATTAGTTTCAAGTATAGCTCTGAGAACTTGACTTTATAAAAGTTAAAATTATGCTCAAGATTTATATAGTTCATTAAGCACTCACTGCTTACATTCTACCACCATTTATCCATGTATTGATCCAATAATCCACACCCAATGCACAAGCAAAACTGTTAACTGGTTCAAGAATTTTGGGTGTATGTGCCCAAATGGAATATGCTAAAACGAAAATGTTAAGTATCCATGCATGAGATGCGAAAGCTGCTAATAGAGAAATTTTTCGAATAACAACAAAGAAACTGTCTGGTCATTTATTTTTGCTCAGGCATATCTTTGAATTTCCTCAAAGGAAGGATTTATTTTCATTAATGTGTTTAAATATTTTTTGTAACCATGAAATAAGTGGCAATTATCGAAGTGGCCGACTTCGTTGTATAGCGCGTCGTCGCTTCTAAAATTGTCCAGATAATTCGTTTTCATCGATTTCGAATTCGCTGGACTACTGCGCGGTAAAATTTCATTGGCGAACTTACTATAGTCATTAGGGCAATGTTGCAAGATTGTGCAGCCTTTCTAAGTTCAGAGATTTATAACAGTAGATAATCACAGAGGTACTAAGGTATGCCTGAAAAAAAATTCAAACGTGTACTGAATAACTGTGATTAACATTTATTAAAATGTTATTTTTTTTTTACTGCTCTCGCTGGTAGGATCTACTTATGATTGAAACAGAACATATTCGAAAATTGAGCTAAGCAAACTTTAGACCTATTTTTTTTTGACACACCCTGTACAGTCACAAGTTTGACGCAGCGATAAGAACTGCTTGGTAAATTTTCATTAAAATCGACTAATTCTCCCCAAGAACTTATTAAGTATTGAAATTACACGTCTGAATTGAAAGTTATTAACTTCTTCGAAAAAAGAAACTGGGGAAATAAAAACCTGATATCTAGTTATAGCAACAAATACAAAGTGTTGTTGTTCAAAGTTCGAAGTTCAAATACAAAATGATTCGATTTCTTTGAAAGTGCTTTTTTTTTAAAAAAAAATATGGAGGAGGCGTCATTTCATTAAGCTTTTTTTTATTCAGCTTTGTTGTGTATCGATTTGAAATTATTCTCCATAGCCCTTCTTATTTTGGACACACCTTATAAATTAATATGGAATATTATAATATAACATACTCTTTTCAGTTTCTCTCCAGAAAAAGCAGCAAATTTCTTGTCAGATAAATTCAAATGCAATTTAGCATCAGATTTGGATCGTCACACAAAAAATGGCCATAGTAAAAATAATTGAATGCCGTTTTAATTATAAGTATATTGACATTCTTAATAACCTTTTTATAATTTCATATCAATAAATTTAATTCGTACCTAATGTATAGGTGAGGTACTTATATTAGTTGCTTAAAAAATAATAAATTGTCCTCTACACTGGTCGTTTTATTTAGTTCAGAACAGAAACTTGTGGCGCCATCGGTTTTGTCGACATTGAAGCTCGGCAGAATGGGAAGTCGGTAAAGCGTCGCGCGAGAATGCTGCAGGACATTCCCGCGACAATATTTTCACGACGGCTAGTTCTGGTCCGGGCTGCTAGATGGCAGCACGTATCCCGCAGAAACAAAATAATTTTAAATCTGGAAACAGATTTGATATGGGTATATCAATATTTTCCTTCCAGAAAAACACCGCGGTTTTTGACCAGTCAAATTAGAATTTTAAAGCAAATGAATTATAGTTTCACATGCTTCAGTTTGGACCTATTAAAAAATAATGGGCATGAAATCGAATGCGCGACCCCCAAGCTCAACTTTTGATAAGAGATAAAAAGGAGAAAAAAATCGGTCCAACTGCATAAGAATGTAGCAGAATGCTTGTGTGTCGCCCTTGTATTCCAAAACTCATACCTATTTCGTGGTGAATAAACTAATAGATACGTATGGAAAAAAAAGTTGAAAAAAAGAAAAATCGTTATTGTAGAAATTTCCTTGCATCAACAGTTCTTTTTAAAGACATTCATTATTTATGCTTACAAGCGCAATGCAATTTCATTTAAAATAGAGGAAATTTTCTCATTTATTGAAGATAATGATGACTGCCAATTTTCATTATCTGAATCGAATAAACTCTCTAAAAAATATGGCGACAAACTTCTCATGATAGGTAGGTACCTAACAAAATCTAGAGATAAAAAAGGCATTGAACAAAACTAAAAGAGCAAAAAATTAATGCGATCTTCATTTCATGTTTATCTTGAAAAACATCGTTCAAATTGACTTCCATTATTGCATTGGCCGTTCTCCAATTGGAAATACATAATTTGCATAGAAAAAGTTGATTCTGGCATACCTACGGATGACATAAGCAATCCAATGAAGCTGATGTTGGATGAGCTTTACCTCAATGATGTTGGAATTGTTTTTATCTTAAGAGTGCGCTTTTCGATGCTGAAGAAATAGATATTTCGCGTTCGCGACTATGCTACAATAAAAACAGTTGCATCTAGGGAATTTTAACAAAAACTGTTTTTAAGAATATGTACTTTTGTAATTGTTTGACCAGTAAATTTTTTTTGATTTTTCTCATTTTTTGAAAAATGTTTTTCATAAAATGGGAAAAATCAAAAAAAATTTACTGGTCAAAGAAGCACAAAAACATGTTCTTGAAAAAAGTTATTGGTTAAAATATCGTAGATGCAACTTTATTAAAAGAGCATAGTCGCAAACGCGATTTTCAGCATCGAGAAGCGCACTCTTAAAGCGGTGCATAATTTGAACTTTATTGTCGTCAACAATTGACACAGAAGTGATCCATTATGTTCCTAGGACCATAACGATTTGTATGTATGGGGAATTTGTTCGATATTTCTCGCTAGAGGCAGCATCAATCAGCGCTATTATGTTCTTGTAATTAATTTTGCGTTTTCTTCTCGCTAGATGGAAACTTCAACGACCAAGTTCTAGAGCATAATTTTTTTCATAATTTGCACTTATTTCTTCGTTTTAAATTTTTTGACTAAATTAAGGACTATCTTTTTGAACTAAAAACGTTTATTCGGGTTAAATCTATTTCGGATGTTTGAGAGTTCAACTATCCAATATTGATACAATGGGTTCTTACTCTGTGGTCGGGAGTAGTTACGTCAATTTTCGAACTATTAATATTTGTTCTGACGTTTTAAGGTTAGATCTATTCGAGGATCTATTCACAAGTTTCCATATTTATTTTGCTTGTGTCTGTATTTAAGTTCTGGTTATTATTATTTAGAAATTTGTTCAATAAATCTGATAAATAATTTTTGATTCGAACTTTTCATCTTCATCCTTCATCTCTCTCAGCTGATAATGGTGGCGAAGAATAGCTAATAACAAATTTTTGCTGGGACTCTGGGGATCCTGAATACTATCTTCATATAATTGTTTAGGTTTTGCCGATATTACCGGATGAATATTGGCAATTGGCAAGTTTGTCCAATTCAGTCGTATACCCTGAATATTTCTACTCTTTTTTTTTACCAGAACTGCTCCGCACTCCCTGGCCGTGGCGCCGTCTAATAATAATTATGTGTGTGCAGCACTCATAAGAGTGATATTTTATCATTATGACATTTAGTAAATAATAATTAAAAATAAAGCAAACGTCCTAAATTATACTTTTAGAAGGATAAATTTCAGTAACTTAGAGATAAAATGTTTTATGCCATTCGACCCAGAAGGTCTTTTTGTGACAAATGACATAAATAACTATTTTCAAGGCTACTCTTCTCACGTAGCACATGAGGTAGTTACTTTCCCAAGCACACCAGGTGACACATGTAGAGGTGGTCCATGTTTTACATTCGTAGAGAAGTGTTGGAATGAAAATGACATAGTGTACGGAGAACTGATTCATGGTTGTCAAATACCCTTCTCAAACGACGAAGAGACGTGCTGAATTTGGGCTTCAATATTCACTTCTGTCAAAAAAGGTGTTACTGCTGGCTGTTGCAGTGGTAATTTCGGGCAGGCTGGTATAGGATTTTTGTCCTATCCATGTTAAGGTCCCGATGAAATGCTTCCGTATGATTGGTTAAACGTATTAAGAGTAGTTTTTAGGTCTTCCTTTGGAGTTGTTCCCAAGACAGCGTTATCAGCAGCATATCGAAGCTCGCATCAACAGTTGTTGTGGAAACCTGGGTCTTGGCTCGAAGTCTGCTAATGTTGAAAAGCTTACCATCAATTCTATAGGAGATTCCACCTCACAATGTCCAGATTATATAAAATTGGCGCAGTGACACATCCTTGCTTCACTCCCGGTTGTAATTCAAGGACTTCTCCAGGTCTGTCTTACCAAGCAGCTGTATTATACCATTTGGTCGATTGCTTCTTCAATTTCTTTATGGACCTGAACGTCAGTCGTATGGTTTTGAGTAGGTCTTTGAGGAACTGATAAAATTTGGAACTTTGAGAAGCTGATGAGTTCCATATCACTAGATCTAATGGAAATTTGACCTCTTGAATAAGGATTAGAGGTTGCTTTCGTCGCGCTGAATAGGGCTCTGGTGTTAATAGAAAAATATTCCAATTGGATTGATTTCCTTGTCTATCATTGATTTTTTACCAATCTAGTTTTTTCCTGTACGGGTTCCTTTGTTTGAAGAAGCGCTAGTTTTTTTGTGAGATTTTGGGTCGTTTTTAAAGATATTGTAGACTTTCCACTTCTGATCTATGACGTTCTGAATTCCTTTGTCGTTCTCATCAAACCAATCCTGCTTTCCTTGATTTCCATCAACTTAGCGAGACAACCGCGGAAAATCGAATCGGTACTTACCAAGAATATGCCGCTAATTAGTTGTGAAATTGGAAAAAGATGCCGTTTTTTTTATAACGTGTTTCCCTAACTTGACGTCACAACTGTGCGATCAAGAATGTTGATTCTTTGAGAAGCTGCCAGCATAACTGTTCTTTGCATTGATCAATACTGTTTTTAATTTTGAAATTTTATAGAATACGACATAATTGAATATAAATATAAATTACGTTTCAAACATAAACATAAACGAATTATGCATGCGACATTGTCCACTATTTTCGGTTCTCCATATTTATCGGAACAGTAAACAACTTCAACTCAACTAATTAACGGTTTAGTCGCACCAAATAAAACCAAAATAGAACACAAAGCCTCCACAAATCATGTTTACTGAAATATATAAATTGCCATTGGGCCGGAGATTCCAAAAGAAAAAAAAGGGTGTTAATGACGTTTGAAATCCGTCAGCTCTGTGCTCTGATTTTTTAAAATTCGTCTGCAAAGAGAAAAAACAAATAGTGATGCCGCGAGACTCGAGACTGGTCTCGTCTCGTCTCGACTTTTCGAGACGAGACTTGCTTTTGGTCTCGTCTCGTGAAGTCTCGACGAGACGAGACCAGACTTGGCGAGAGTCTCGCGTAGTCTCGAGTCTCGAGATTACAAATAAAATTTTCTTTCATAGCGTTATTATTGGACTATTCTGGGCTATTTGAATATGAAATCAGTATTACCAATAATTGATGATTTCTACATACCTATCTATATTTGATTTTCAGATTCTACTTTCAGTATAGCCAGTAGTGAGATCAATTTAAAAAAACGTTTAAAGCACAAGCACTTTCGGCTAAACTGGAAGTTAGATCTGAACATAAGGTATGTAGAAAGAATTCCAATAATTCACAAACGAATTACAGGATGATTCTTTTTTCAAAAACTGTTTTGTCCCACATTTTTTTTTTTTTTAATTTGACGTTCATATTTTTCCAAACATCACGGATACTCTTTACTGTGCTGTGATTTTTCATTCTTTGAATAACTGCTTCTTCACTGTGGCAGTTTGAACTTTCCTTATAATATGAAAATAAAAACCATAAATACAGGGTGTCCGAAAAATAGTAGCGTGAAAGCTCTCCACGTAGTAGGGGACCCTTTGAGAAACCCTATAAAAAATAATTGAAAAAATCATTTTCCAGCTTCTTGGTAATATGAAGAGGTAAATGTGAAAATTCACCTACAAATTCTACTAGTAATTGCATAGGTATTTAATTTAATTCTCTGACATATTGCCAACAGGATATTTTCACTGTTGCAAATTTTAATAAATAATAAAATGCAAAACACTTTCTTGAAGGGTGTGACCCAAAAATGAAAGTTTTAGTGTAAAAAACTCTAAGAATAAATATTCAAACCGCATCTTGCTACAATGGTCCGTTTTCAAGTTAGGGCGGTTCAAAGTTACAACAAGGTGTTTGTGACGTCAGACTGGATTATCAGGGACAGTATTAACACGTGTAAGAATTTTCCAGAACAAAAAACAATTATCTTTTAGAGCGAATTGCAACCACTCAAAGTATAGGGTACGGTTCACTAACGACTGAACGAACAGAAGACTGTGATTTCGGTGGTTGTGACATCACAAGTTCC